TTGTTCTCATAGTCAACTCAGTTAAGGAACAACTATTGGAAATAATATAAATTCATATTTAATTTTCTATATTTATATTTTTTAATATCTAAGCACATTCGAATAAAGAACAATGCATGAAACACGGACGAAAAGTGTTTTCTACGAGTAGTCGCCCGAAAAACTAAACTTTACGTCATTGTAACATAAACTACTATTCTTGTCTTCCCAAGGGCCGTAAATGATATTTTCTTGAGATTGACAGACGTCAAAACAAGCTAGATACGAAGTTAGTAGTACGAAACTAGCTATTTGTGTATTAAAAGCGTCTGTCGAAAGCGGCAACGAACTTTTTGCTCAAAATGCACACAATATTTTTTCTACGATCACACTTTTTAAGAAATAGATATAAAAACTGAAAATTTGTCATAAGTAGTGTATATTGTGTTGCCTATATCTACGTTATTCGTGAAAAAAGAAGTTGATATTTAAAGTCAATGTTAACTTGGATAATTAAAGCAAAAACATCAAACTAGGTACAAATAACTTCAAAATCATTTATTAAAAAGAAATATTATTTTACTATATCTAATTTAAATTAGGCAAGCGACAAAGCTGTCAAGTTTTCCGCTCGGCGATAGACAAAGCTGTCACTTAATGTCAGTTTGCGGAAAACGTCAACTTTGCGGTTGAATTTCGAAGCGCAAAAGCCTACTTTGGATAGTGATCGTAGAAAAAAGTATAAATGATATCCACCAACAAGAGCACCGCCAGAAGGAGGGTCAAAGGTACAAATTTGTACATCTAAATAATTTGTCCCAATAATTGGTTGATACAAATTGCAACTATCCTCTTGCCCCCACTGGCGGCGCCCATGTGCACCAAATATGTTAATAATATAAAAATGGTCAACAGTAAAGGATGGTTTCACTTTTATTTTAATTAAAAATCGTAAATTATCAAAGTTAGATAAAAAGTAAAAAGTCATCTAGTAATTTGAATTTGTAAATAAACTTGAATGTCTTAGAAAATATGTACCTATTGACCAAACTATTTAATGAACTTTGTAAAAAGTCACATACTATTATAACATATTTTTTCCGTTTTGATATTTTAAAATAAATTTACCGAAATAAAAAATATATGACCATGTAGATACAAACAAATAGAAATAAAAATTATGTAAATTGAATGAGCAAAACAAACAAATATAATCCAAGTGAATACAGTAAATATAAAATTATCTATATTAAGGAAGATAGAAACGTAAAAAACGTAAAAACCTATTCTGTCAGAAAAATATTACATAAATATTATAGTTATTATACAGGGTGCCCCATTAGTGCGTAATTGTTCAATATTTCAATGTCTTATTGACAATAAAAGTTATAAGGATCTAACAAATACCTATTTTAAAAATATTTTTGGATATACGTTTTTGTCTGGCAAATAAAAATGTATATTTTATAAATAAAACACCCTGCATTTTATTTCAGTTTTAGAATGGGTTGGTAGTACTGTATTTAACCCTCGGATTTTTTTAAAAAGTATTACACGGTTGCCTAGCAATTAATTTTTTTATGAAATTAGAGAATGATGCAGACCCCAAATTAAATTATCATAATTTAGATAGGTTTTTTGAATGGTTTCAAAATTATTTAAAATACACACTTATAAGATATTGTGCTAACGAATAGAGGTCATACAACTGATTTATTTTATACAGAGTGTCTTAAAACATGTCTTAAATATGACTAATTTTAAGTTCAATTTACTCAATTTTTTAAGATGTAGTACCTTGTATATTATTTTAGCATAAAATTCCTAATAAATTTACATACATATTCAGCGATACTAGCATGTTAGTTAATAACATATATACAGGGTGTCCCATCAGTGCGTAATTGATTCGATAGCTATTTTATTATTGGAAATAAGAAAAAAAATAATATAAAAGTTGTATGACAATCTTTAATAAATATTCTTAAAAGAGGGGCTGACCAAACCTATACATTTTTAAAGCAAAACACCCTGAAGTTAGTCATACATATTTGATTATTTTCACATCGTCAAACAAATTTAATAGTCTTCATTTATTTGCTATGTTGTATATAGGGTGTGTCAAAATGCGAAGTAATGATTTTCTCAATTTTTTAAATGGAATACCCTATATGTTATACCAATTAATTATTAAAGGGTATTCCATTTAAAACATTGAGTAAATGGTAACCTAGTAACATAGCAAATGAATGAATGAATTCAATTCAAATTGTGTGACGGTGTGAAAACACTCAAATATGTATAACTACTTGCAGGGTGTTTTGCTTTAAAAAATATAGATTTGGTCAGCACTTCGTTTATGGACCACTCCGTATATTTAAGAATAATAGTTAGATATGGTCAGTGTCATTATTGTGATCTGAATTATCAACTGTCGGCGTCCGTTTGGTATACAGAGATAATTCTTACCTCTTACCATATCCATGGGTTTTTGGATTTCTACAACATTCAGACAGTATGACCATTGTTTAAAGACTCTTCAAACAATGGTATGACATTTAAAAAGTGTATAGTCCTTTTTGACCGACCATTCAAGTGGCGCGCCACCTCCTTAATTTTAATTAACGAACTTATTAAATGACTCTCGTAGAATTTCTGGAAAACTACTACTTTGTTGCAAAATTATTCAGAATCAATTTTTTTTATTACAAATTGTATCGTTAAATAAATAATAGAAAGCATTTTACAGTCTGACACCACGTTTCATCGATGTTGTAAAACTATAAAATTGTCATTGACTTATTTGTTATTGTCCTGTGAAGGTTAACAAAAATTGAAATATTGTAATAATCATTTACATTTTTTTTATCGACGACCGTAACATTTATATATACCTATTGTTGATTGATTAAAATATGCAATACCTATATAAAACGTTTGTTTAAATATGCATTAGTTACTTATTAGAGGCATGTACGCCATTTTTTATCAAGCAATTAGAATAATTGTGAATAGAGGATATTAAAGTAAAATTGAAGACGGACAATTAGCATTAAACCAATAATCATTTATATCAACTATAGAGGTAACTACGATACAAAATATCTAATAACTTTATATTTCGCTTTATATAAAAGTACAATTTTATTTAGATACCTATGAGGGAATTATACAGTGAGCACCATAAGTCTTACCCCCCTCTCTAACTCATTACTGGAGTCTTGTTAGGAAAATTGCCGAGACAGGTCGATTTTTGATTTCTACAATGTATATTTTTGTATGATTAGTTTACCCTTAATTTCATCCTTTACTGTAGGGGAGCAACCCTTTCGAAAAATTTAAATGGCATGGGGTAGTGAGTGATAGCTCATTTGAAAGAAGGTTTTATTCTCTATTCAACCGTGCAAAAAAAAATTTAAATTTGCTTCATTACGTGTTGATTTATTAATGTTTAAAAATAACAAAACCTCACAAAATAGGAAAGCAACTAAACTAACAGTGACCTTCTAATGGCAAAAAGTCTTACTTCACGTCTGAACCAAAACCGAAATCATGCACGGCCGAATTTTAATTCTAAGGATGAGTGCGCTACGTTAATTTCCGTTATTCTGAAACAACAATTAGTCGAGAATTAATGAAGCAAATTTCAAAATTTTTTACACGGTTGAATAGAGAATAAAACTCTCTTTCAAATGAGCTATCACTCACCACCCCATGCCATTTAAATTTTTCAAAAGGGTTGCTCCCCTCCAGTAAGGGATGAAATTAAGGGTAAACTATTCATACAAAATTGTACATTGTAGAAAACAAAAATCGACGTGTCTCGGCGATTTTCCTAACAAGACTCCAGTAATGAGTTAGATAGGGGGGTAAGACTTATGGTGCTCACTGTATGTACAAAAGTTTATAATTATAATCGTTTTTTAAGTTTACTACAAATTCATTTAATTACAGTGGCGTGCTGAAGACTATTAGTTACACTTAAAGGAAAATACGATGAAATGTTATTTACATGTTATACAGGGTGTATCAATAAAAACTCCCAAGCCAGATATCTCGCAAGAAATAGAATATTTTAATTCTGTAAAATTATTTTATTTTTGTTGCAAAATAAGTAATTTTAAAATAATTTTTGACTTTAAATAATTTTTAAAATAATAAAAAAAGAAAGTTCATTTCATTTTTCCCCATCCGAGGATCGAACTCGAGTCTTGCATGTGGAAGTCAAGAACGCTGACCACAGGACCACCTATTCTGTTATTTTTGTAGCTTTGATACTCGTAATTAAATTGACTTCATATAGTTTTATTTAAATTAACAAATTATTTATAATTATAGACGAAATTAAAACAGAAATGCTATTATTTATCGATTCTACACATGAATAACCCATTTTAATGTATGTTTAATCTCAATAACTAAAAAATATACTGACAATTAGTTTGACAGAATTGTCACTTATTTAAAATTTTAAAAATAATAGCAATAGATAAAAATATGAACGTTGATTGGTGGATTTTATTTTTTGCAGTGTTCTCACTACCTAGAATTGATATAAAATATATTCGTTTAGTTTAGTTTACATTTTTTACAAGATGCGCTACATAAAAAAGATCCTCCCATCGAAAAAAAAATTTTTGAGCGCAGCGCCATCTACATATTGACCTATTAATTGACCTATTAAAAATCAATTTATACTGGATCTGAAGTTCCCTTAGTACTCTATGAATTGGCTTTTACAGAATTAAAATATCTCTATGTCTTATCAAAATATCCGACTTAGGAGTTTTTATTGGTATACCTACTTACATGTTGTACAATAATTAAAAAAAGTAAAAATTTCGTTAAAATGAACTTTTTTATATTAAATTGTTACTTAAACTATAAAAATTAAAACAAAAATAAAATCGGACGTGAACCGGTTCGTATTTAACACGATTTGTTGTTATATTTGATTTTTAAAGCAATGCAAATAGCAAATATTTTATCCAATTGTTTAAGAATAAAAGATGAATATGTAGCTGTTGACAGATGGCATTACCAACAAGCTGGTGGCTTGCAAACCGGAAGGCGTCGAAGAACAAGAAACGGTGCTGGTCAGGATCTATGGGAACAAGACAGACTTGATTATAGATAGAAAAGCCGAAACTAGGTGAGTCATTGATACATCAATAAGGTAAGCCGCATTATTGTGACCTCAATGAGCCAAACAAAAATAAATTATTCTGTCATTGATTTTGACATAATATTTATTGTAGTTCTAAAGAGTAATCCACAAAAAATGTTTCTAAAGTAGGTATTAGGCATTCCAACGACCTGTTAAAATGCTGATAAGTGGGAAATGACGTTTAGATATGGCAACCATGTGCCCTGCTGTTAAATGATACATATACAGGGTGTCCCAAAATTCCGTGTACATAGATCTACTGTATGTTGGTGAGATGAAAATAAGTGGATTGAGCCAGAATTACCTGTATCACAAAGTCCATCGTTTGCCTGTGAGGAAGCTTCAAAGTTGGAAGATTGCTAAAAGCGAATCCTTTTGCGAGCGGCCATATTGCCTCCCAAATGCTATTAAAGGTGGATTCATAAACTACGTTCAGTTCACGCTCAGTTCGAGTTCAACATAAACAGAGCAAAATGACACGGTAAGTATGTTTTGGATAAGAAGTTATAACGGATTCATAATTATTTTATAACCAACACCATCTACCAATATAATTAAAACAAAAATAACACCAAAAAATAATTTTATTTTGTGGAATTTGTGGTTATGTCTTGCCAACTGCAACTGAGCGCGAACTGAACGTAGTTTATGAATCCACCTTTAATCAGAATCAGTTTAGCAAAAATGTGTTTTAAAAGCAATTTTCAGCATTTGAATATAATAAAAAAATAATTGCCTACATTTTTACTTCAATGCATAAACTTATGTTTATTTTAAAAAACATGGATGATCAATCTATATAACTATCTATTTCATTGGCCCTGTCAAATCACTAGGCTTACAGGTTTGCCATATTGTTGCAATATTATAACATGTCAAAACTCATTGGTTGCCATTTTGTTTGGAATTCCTAATTGAAAAAATTCACGTATTTCGAGTATACAACTCTTCTTCCTTTGAAGTATCATTTTGGATTTAATTCAGAGCTACGCGTAGTTATCAATATCTCCAACGTTGTCGGTCTTGGCCTATTTTAAAAACATTTTCTGTGGATCACTATTATTGCTGCGTTTGAATATCCACATGCATTTTTTACATCTCGAGCGTTTGTTTATCCACATCGGACACAACTACTAGATCTGCATCTGCGTTTGTTTATCCGAGATGTAACTATCCAGATTACATTTTTTACATCTCGATTTGATATAAGATGTAAATGAGATGTCTATGCCAGAAAGGATGAGTTCTGTGAAGCCAAGCTTATCGATTTATCCTTTGTTTGTACTATCGTGAATATAAAAGTGATTAGTTTGTTTAATTTTTGTCTCAGATGCATCCGATGTGGATATTCAAACGCACAAATATTGCAGTGGTTTGCTTTTAGAAGAGTTCAATCTCAAAAATAATGGAAATAAAACGCAAATTAATACCTAACCTGCATTTTTTCTTTTGCTTCTTATTTTTAACGGTATTCTTACTAGACCGTTTGTCAGCTCATTCCAACGGCTAGAGTACCTATATGATGCAATCTATACTTAGTTTCGGAATTTATTTTAAGGCCTAAAATGATTTTAAATCAAATAAAAATAGTTCGAAAACTGCAATATTGTGATAAACGTAATAATCAGAACGTAACAAATGAGATATACTGTACAAAAGTGGTTAAAGACATTGGGTTTTCTGCAAGATTCTGCCAATTCTGTAATTAGATTATGCGAATATTACTAATAATAAAAAACTATATAATTAGCATTGGTTTTGTCTTATAAACTAGTAAAACCAACAGTAGGGGAAGGTGGGGGAATATCTACCGCAGGTTAATATCGATCATATTCAAATTTCGTCTAATTCGCGCCGTAGAGCAAAACCTAGAGAGTAGTTGTGATTGGCCAGTTCTGGACGGGAGGTAATGAGAGGTAATTAGTAATTATCATAAGTACCCACCCCACCCTTCGCGCAATTAGCAAGTACCTCCCAATGAGCGTAATTGCATAGTGTGATTGCATAGTGTAATTGCATAGTGTAATTGCATAGTGTAATTGCATAGCGTAATTGCATAGTGTAATTGCATAGTGTAATTGCATAGCGTAATAAGTGTAGTTACTTCATACGCATATAGATATAAGTATTTACTATGTATATCGAGTAGCGTGTAACGAGCATAGTAAGTACCTCTTAGATAGTAATTGCTATGTATATCATGTAGTGTAATGGGTTCAGTTCAAGTACATATGAGTGATTACTATTGTAGCATAAGGGAAATACGTCGGAGCATACCGAAACACATCCTTGACTCTCAACCGTCATAGCTAGAGTGAAGCGCAAGTCTCCAGCAGACACGCACGACGTAAACATCGGTGGAAGGGATAGTACCCCATTCTTAACACAATTTGCGAGCGCCTCTCAGACTTGTATATTATGAATAGGGGAGGGGAGCATAAGAGAGGTGGAGATTTTAGAGAGGATATATAGTAGCACCCATATTCAAATGAAATCAGTACAAAACTCGTGAGCTTTAAGCGCGTTGTAAGTTCCATTATCTAATATCGAAATTATCATAAAAATAATAGACATGTATAAGTGTAATTGTGGTTTAACATTTACAAGGATAGATAATTTACATCGACATCAAAATAAAAGTTGTAAGCTAATATCTAATCGCACCGGTGAATCATCGCGTGGTACGAAAAGATCTACCAATTCCAGCCCTGATGTTTTACCAGTAAAAAAAGCGCGTAATGGGAGATGTGAATCATGTAATGTAGACATCCCTACCAATCAGATGTCATCGCATATGAAGAGCCTTGACCATAAAGAAAAAGCCTGCTCAATTCATGCCGATGGTATATATTTAATTCAGAGTGCGTTTAAGTGCAGAATTGCAAGTTACAGAGTCAAAAGTGATAAAAAACATATAGATTATGTAACATTTTTTGATGCGGTAAAATGTAGAGTATTGGAATTGTTAAAAGTTGTTCTGAGGGTCCATAATGCCATTAAAGTTAATGTAGAGGTCTTCGCTACATATGTATTGCAGAGTCAAGATATTTCTGAAATCAAATCTTTTAATAGCATAAATCGAATACTAGATTTTTCGGCGGATTTGGATGCGACATATGCGGACTTTAAAGATGCGGCGGTATCTCAAACTGTAGACTTTCAACATAAGGATTCAGGTATTGTAGTTTTTATAGTGTATAATAGGGCGTTAACTAATAAATTATTCGTTGTTTCAGGCTGGTCGTTACTGGAAGTACTATTTTTAGAAGTAAATATAAATAAGTACTCTCCATTAGGCGGCTGCTCGCACATAAAGCTACCCAAGTTTATTGAAACCAAGAAGGGCGTAGTTAATGTGCAAAATAATGATGCGTACTGCTTTGCTTGGGCCATCACATCGGCACTATATCCAGCGAGAGAGCATGTTAGCGAAACGTCATCGTATCCACACTTCGAGACCGTGCTGAATGTTGAGGGTATTGAATTTCCCATGAAGCTTAAAGACATTTCAAAATTTGAAGACCTAAATGATATAAGTGTTAATGTTTATGGTTTGGAACGTAGTTATGAAAACGGTAAGGCGAAATTTGAAATAGTAGGCCCATTACGATATTCCCGCAGAAGGTTAGGTCATCATATAAATTTACTACTAATAACGGCTGATTCGGGTAATAGTCACTACTGTTGGATTAAAAGTCTTTCTAGATTAGTGTCGAGTCAAATAACTAGAAATGGCCATAAAAAATTTTTTTGTGATGGATGTTTACTTTATTTTCGATCTGAAAGCATCCTATTGCGGCACCAATTGAGCGACTGTAATCATATATATACCTGCACGCCATCAGTAGAGCTAAAAAAAGACAAACGCGGTTATTATGTACCTGAAAATATACTCAAGTTTCAAAATTATGATAAGCAGCTAAGGGTTCCATTTGTAATTTATGCTGATTTTGAATCGATCTTAAAACCTATAGATATTTGCGAACCAGATCCGGAAAAAAAATTTACTATCCCTACATACCGACATGAGCCATATTCTTTTGCATATTTAATTAAATGTTCATTTGATAATTCATTGACGAAATTTGTAACTTTTACTGGTGACAATGCCGGTAGCGATTTCGTGAAACGGCTAGAAGACGATATTCTAACTATTTATAATACGTATTTAAAAGATGTTGTTCCTATGCACCAATTGTCTAATGATGAAATAGATGATTTTAATACATCGAGTATATGCTCTATTTGTGATGAGGCCTTTCAGGATGGTGATGTTAAAGTAAGAGATCATTGCCATATTACCGGTAAGAAAACCCCTGGCGCCGCACACAGTAATTGTAATTTAAATTATAAAATCCCGCAATTTGTTCCAATATTTTTTCATAATTTGAGTGGGTACGATAGTCATTTATTTATTAAAGAATTGTATGGTGAAGGCGAGAGAGCCGAAGTTATTGCTCAAAATAAAGAAAAATATATTTCATTTACTAAACCGTTGTACACCCATAGCTATGTAGATAGAGACGGTATGATGAGAAAAAATTACATAAAACTTAGATTTTTAGATAGTTACAGATTTTTAGCTGATTCCTTGGTTGGGTTATCAGAAAATTTACCATCAGAATTTTTCGTAGAAACAAGGAAATGTTTTGCAGAAAAAGAAAAATTCGATTTGATGAGGCAGAAAGGGGTGTTTCCATATAATTTCATGGATAATTTAATGAAATTAGATCACCCCAATTTACCTTCAAAAGAGGATTTTTATGACAAGCTAAATGATCGCCATATATCCGATGAGGATTATGCGAGGGCTCAGAAAGTTTGGAATGTATTTAAATGTCAAACTTTGGGATCCTATTCTGATTTATATTTAAAATCAGATGTTTTAATGTTATGCGATATATTTGAAAATTTTAGGGATGTATCACTTAGGGCATATAAACTAGATCCAGCGCAATATTATACATCTCCAGGTTTGTCATGGG